ATGTCGACTCGAACGATGCTGACTCGCACGGAGCATTAAAAACATGCTGCCAGTGTTACGGGTACGCTGGAGATGACGACGATGCGTGTGATAACGTTGCACGTGGTGACGACGCGTGCTGCGGCGGCGATACAGACATGTACGATGCATGTCTTGCGCAACTTACCTCTTGGGCTGACGACTCGAGTACGCAACTTAAGGCAAACATTGCCAATTCGACGGCAACGTGGAAAATTGTCAATAGTCACTCAACTCATTATGCCGAAGCAGGTATGCAGGAGTGGTTTGACATTATCAATGATACAGGTGTCCACCTTTGGTTAAATGGACACACGCACGGAGAAAATCGTCGTCTCTTGGTGTCCATTTCGTTGATAACGGCGCCGGTGGTGGTATCATTAAGGAGTCCGCTAGTGGCATCCCGACGTATGCGGAAGGTTATGTGGAGAATCTTTAGGTGTACGACGGTACGGAGTATGGTTTCTTTTCTCTTACTGCGTCGAAGAAGCTGCAGTATCACACGGCAGATGACAAGTGGTCGTATGCGGAGAGTTTTAACTCGACTAGTGTGGGTGGTGTGGCTACAAAACATTGCTGGTACGTCCCGAACGACGGAGGTGAAGGTCAAGAGTGCACGTCGTCGTCGAGCTCTTCTTAGCTACATTGCAAAAAAATAATTCTAATGTTGAACCAACCCAAAAAATTGCTTCACAAGCTGCCAGAAAAACTAACCGACAAAAAAGAAGAATTTCTCTACTATAATGGGCCATTCCGACAGTCGTACGAGGCTTGTACTACAAGTTGGTCGGCAAGGATCTCTGTCTAACCGTGGCTTTATCTCACTAATGCCTGCTAGTCCAGCCGGGCTTAGTTTCCCGGACGACTGCTGAATGGATAAACCAACTCTGCTGCACATATTCGATCTCGATAAACGAAGAAGATCACTATACTGCGGCCTACACCTTTTCAACTTCAAAATGGCTGTCATTTTGAACTGCCACATTCAACTACGAATTTGCCATTTTGACGTTTGGAGGTATCGGAGACCAGAAGTAGGAAGACGCGGATTGAACCGATACTGTTGCGGACATGTACGGCCTAACCCACTGAATGAAGCAATCATTTTCGCTTCAAATATGTCCACCACCACGGCAGCATGACAAGTTGCTAGGAGTCGCTATAAACCGTTCGTTCACTTCGCGGGAGCGGGGATGCAAGAGTATTAATATCATCCATGGAAGCGATGCCCATTTGTGGGCAAAAGAACAGAAATGCTGATGGTGAGAGCAATGAATAGTCGTCTGCCCTCGGTGTGCAATTTATCGCTAACGGGGCCGGTTGTAACATCCAGAAGGACCCTGTTAACCCAGTTCCGACGTATGCTAAGGATAATGCCGAGGACATGTATGGTTCATACACGTCCTCGGTATGATTCAAATGTGTTTTCGGCATAGTCCTCAACATACTTTGATAGGCATTTACGCGACGAAAATTATTATTTTTTCGCTCACGAGGATTAGTTGAAGCTGCAATGCATCGTAGTCGGATATCGATCAATATTGGCAGCGTGGCAACTGAGCTCTCCTAGAACGTCCCACATGTTGGAACCTACGACCAGGAGTGCCTGTCTTCGTCTAAATATCGTCAGACTGCTGAGAATATGCATAGATGGCAAAACCAAACCATTGTTTTCGAGGTTTCATGGCGTGAAAAGAGACTAACGAGTACAAAAGTGGGAAACCGAACTTTCAAAAAAAAAATTTAAAAAAACTGGACATAAATTATGGATATATTGGTACAACCGTGTTGAAGTCAGTATGATTACCTTGAGCGAATCTCTCTAAGATACTATAATGAGATTTAGGAGGTCCTGTTTAAGCCGTTATGACTAGCTTAAACTCTATTAGCACTAATGGCTGGTGTGCAGCTATTAGTGGCTGGCTTCCTAAGACTAATAAAGTGCCCACTTCGTCTTTTGACGCCTACAAGTACGTCTTCTTCTTCTATCTACTCTTCTCGACCTGTTATACGAGTTATAGGTTATGAGCCCAAGCCAAGCCTCAAGCGACGACTTCCCTCGCCTCATCGGCGCCGAGAACTTCGACGTCTGGAAGACCCGTGTGTGCGCAGCACTAGATGGCAAGCACCTACTCGGCTACGTGAAGCAGCCCGACTACGATGGTGTGTCTGACGACGAGAGTGAAGACAGCGGCAGCGATATGGCTAATGCCAACGATGAGCCGCATCCCAACGGTACCAAGAACGTCGAAATCGACTCCGACGCTGTGGACTACGACGAGAGCGACGACGAGCTCAAGCCGCCCTCGGGCTCGGACGAAGACTCTGGAGCCAACTCCGACACGTCAATCAAGAGGAAGGACCTCCCGGCTGCTCGTTCACTTAACCAGCGAGAGGCTAGCGTGCACGCAAACGCGCCAAGAAAGAGCCGCGTCAGCCTCTTAGCCAGCGCGAACGCCGTCGACAAGAAGCCAAGACCAAAGCCTTCTTGATGAAAACGATAAATAACATGCACGTGCGGCTGGTCAAAAATATCACGACATCCTACGAGATATTCAGCTACATCTGCCAGAAGTACGAGGGAGCAGCCTTTCATGATGACCCGTACTTTATTCACCCCTACTTGATGGAGATCAAGTATGAGGAAGGCTTATCCTTCATGGCGTCCTGTATGCTCCTCAGCTTCAATTCAGTCTGCTTTCAATTCCAGCAGCTGTGAAGCACGACTTTCGCTTCAACTTTGACCGCAAGCAGTGTTCTATGCAAACTGACCAGCGCTTCAAGATCAAATCGCTCATGGCTACCAACACGGATCTGTATCAGTTCCAAGCCAACCCAGCGGCACCGCCAGCGGCTCTTATTGCCTCAGGTAAGTAACGTTCCTTTCTGCTCTTACATAAACGCCTATGGGCACCCTAACGTTCGTGTCTTGAATGAGTCAGGCCATACATGGACTCGATGGATCTATACCTCTAGGTCCAAAGACAGATTTCTTTTTGTACCTGCACGTTAGCGAAGCCACACCGCTCCCCATTTTTACTCTAATTGAGCTGTTAAACGTGCTACATCAACTTTGGTCAAAAGTTCCATTCAATTATCTGTTGATTCCCACCTGGTTCCTAGCCCTTACTGGATGGTCGTACTTCTTGATCTTCCGTCGATGACTTTCCTCTGATTTCTTGTTTCA